ATATATATAGAAAATTTGATTACATTTGAAGTCCTTAGCTTTTTTGGACCGTTTATGTGGACGGATAGAATAATAGAGGGACATATAGACAGCCGAATACCCAGACACGACATGACTGTGTCCAGTTACCCAGCTAAGCGTCCGGATTGTGAGCTCCTTGGGCTATACGCTGAAAGTACATGAAACTGTATCTGTATTCCTTCTGTTTTTGTCTATCTGGCTGTTTGAGGAGAAGGAATTGAGAATTATAATCGATCATTGAAGCGTAACATTACCAATTTGGACGTAAGCCGGCGTTTGCTACCCCGCCGAAATATTTCTGCATATACACATAACCATAAATACATACATATGCATATAACGGGAGGCTGGTGAAAAGGGTTGATTGGGTTATGGGTCGTCTATCGAGGTATTTCTCGATATGGGCAAGTCTCCGGCGAGCCACGTCGTTGCTGACAATGCAATGCGCTGTGAAAAGGGGTCGAGCAACACATAATAAGCGTAATTACTGCTGCTGTTTGAACTTTAGCAGTGTGCAAAAGGGGATTCATCGCCATCATCAGCCTATGGAATAACTCATTAGTCTAATTTCTGACATGGCGAGAGGGTTTTGGCTGGCCAGGCTTTGTTGATTGGTCCCAGCCCCCGACTCCCGTGTCACCTCGGGCTCTGTTCCGGCTGTTCATTTAAACGCAAATGAGCCTTGGGACATGTTCGCTCCAATTTGTGTATTCACATTGATTGCATGAAGACATCTGAATTGAAATCCTTACTACTCTCTGACGTATATGCGAAATAAATATGGAGTTGTCCATCAATAGAGTTTCAAGATTATAGATTGTGTGTGATCATGGCAAGTCCAAGACAAGCTCAACGTTTGGTCGTCTGATTTGCTGTATACACAGATAGGGGGTGTACATAAGTGGATATTACGTCTCCGTGGTGCCAACTCAAGTCACAAACAATGGTATTTAAATAATACGAGCTTATTTAAACGAACGCATTGTCGACAATCTCTCTTGGGAGTCTTCGAGGCAGAGATGAATATGAGGAAATGGTCGGACGGAGGCGGCGCAACAAAAATAAATTAAACCAATTGCACAGATTTCACT